ATGCAGCAATAGAGAATTGTTTACATCCACACTCTTCTACGTTTTTAAAATCCTGGACATTACAACCGATTTCAGCTTTGTTAGTTTGTTTATCTATTTGGTTTCCGAAATTATGCACTATTTCTCTCAATGATCCAAATCTTCGACCGGATACAGAGATATTAAAAGTAAAACTTTGATTGGGTGTACTATTTAATTCTGTATATCATTTTCGGTGTTAACATTTTATTATTATTTAGTCAGTAAATTGATCTGATTTCTTAATCACACTTCTGTTTTATTTATTTGTTACAACTTTAGGATCTTGTAAAATTATCATTTTATTCGGATTCAACCTCTTCTGTCCTACCAATCTGTTCGTTTTCGATATGTAATGCATGGAATTCATGGCTTAATTGTTCTATCACACAAGGTTATCTCCAAACATGGGTAAGTTTAGTTGACAATGTTGTAAGCATGTTTAAAAATTCGATTTAGACTAATTCTTAACATCAGTTTGTCATCTATTCTCGGTTATGTGTTTTAGATTATGAAGCTAGTTAGTTTTGCCTCATGGCACAGTCTATAAAAAAGCGCTTCAGAACTCTTTTATCAAATGTTTCAAGTGTTCATTCATACTGGTCGCTGTATCGCCTTGGTGTTGAGATTAATAAAAGAACTATCAATCGACTACTTAACTTTTATAGGATAACTAAACTTCTTTCCATTCATAACCATAGTGGTTATTCTAATCATGAAAGTGTAGAACTATTCCTGTTAATTGTCTCGTGTGAATACTCTGTAGAAGTCTCAGACTGACAAGAAACAACTCTCTAGTGCTCTATGTTTCCCAGTAATTCTTCAGCTGTGATGTTCTGTAATGAAAAGCCTTTTCAAATAATATTAGTAATATTTATAAGGGTGAGTGTTTTCGCGTTGTTGGTGTTAACGACTCCAATTGATCCGGTTCTATTAACATCAACAACGTGAAAACATAAACTCTTATAAACAAAATTCGTATCTGTTGTACAGTCTATCAGCCATCTAAATCCACTAACCAAGCAAATATTGCGTTGATTTTTCGAAACTAAAGGTGTACTGAGTTAGAGTCCCATTACGAACATTAACACTGAGATGCAAGTACCTTTTTTCTGGCTAGTCCCAAGCAGAAACAAACGTGCTCTCGCACTACATTGTTAGACATTATTCAACTTTAAAATAGTAATAATAATGATAGCATATTATACATTACGAAAATATTATTAACATTTTGACTTGTGTTTTTTATTTTATTTTGGGAAACAGTTTGAACAAATAAAGGTTAACATTGATCATTTTGAGTCGAAAGTTCAAGTTGATCAGATTGCAGAAGATATTTTCAAATCCTTGCGAAAGGTAATGTTTTTCTGTCTTTTGTATTTAATTATATCTGCTTATTTATTTAATCGAGTTGGGATTCTCATCTCTATCAACTGGTAGTCAGTCAGTCATCTACAATGTAGGATCAGGTATATATTGTTGGGGACGATAGATCCCCAAAAACTCATAGTTTGTAATTTTATCTTTGTGGAGCTTGTATGCAGGTGTATGCGCGGGCATTCCTTACCACCCACGCACATAGTCGATTGATGAACTTATCGATTAAATGTTTAAAAGCTCCAGGGCAATATCCAATCATCCAACCATTGGTTACGATAGTCGCATGAACCCCAACCAAGTAGTTTGCATCTACCAACATGGTTCAGACCAGAAGTTAGTGACTTCAAGGACTGATGCGACGTTTTGGCTTGGCCACCCCTAGTTTTCTTCCAACCGTCTCGAACACTAGTGAGCATTGCGCGTTGTGGTAGTCGGTGATTTGGCATGTGTAATACATGGCCCAACCATCTCAGTCGATGAAGATTCACGACTTCATCAACTGACTTACCACCATTCTCTAATAGTGTGCGTCTGACCCCACTATAACTTACCCGGTGATCCCAGTAGATGCTGGCAATATTTCTAAGACATCTGTGATCAACTACTAGTAATTTACGAGTATCCTTTATTCTTAATGACCACGTTTCACAGCCGTAAAGTAGAACAGAACGAACTGGTGTTCAGTATACTTGACCCTTAATTGATGGACGTATATCTCACCCTCTTCATAGGTGACACAAGTTGGCAAAAGCCAGACGAGGTTTTTTAATCCGTGTGGAGATTTCGTCAGACATCAACCCATTAGGGATGATCAGATATCTAAGACGAGTGAAGTTGTCGACACGTCCGACTACTTCACTCCCTATCCTTATTTCAGGTGTTTACGCGGGCCAGTCCTGAAGCAACAGCTTTCATTTGGAGGGGGAGAAACGCTTAGTGCTACCAAAATACTGCGTCTTATCATCGTCTTCACTAAACAGGACTATATCATCTGCGTATTCTAAGTCGAGTAGTGGACCTCCTGGTAGGAGATCAATGCCCGAAAATTCAGTCGACGAGAACATTATTTCCAGCAGTAGGTCTTCTATGAAGTTGAACAGAAATGGAGATAGTGGATAGCCTTGTCGGACACCACTTGTGGTTGCAAAACCAGATGACTGTTCGTCATAAACTCTGGCTCGACTAGTAGTGTTCGAGTTACGAGCCCTCACAAGGTTTATGCATTTCTCAGGTACGCCTTTCAAAGACAGACACTGTCACCAACTAGTTATTTCTTTGTAAAAGATATTGTTGTTATTCGTTGTATGTGTTGATAAAAAGTTAATCTATTAAGTTTAATTTAGATGTTAGGTTCATTTGTAGATGAATTTTTTCACAAAATGACTTCCTTTGTGATAGAATGATAGCAAACACACGAACCGTCAATCATTATTCCAAAAGTCCTATACTTGAATGAAACAGCTATGCCCTTCAGTTTTTAATGATACTGAATGTAATAACCTTTTATGCAAATACTTGAATATTATCAGTGTTAGCAATGCAACATTGTTTTTCATTTGGAAGCAACTCATTTCCGACTCATCAACTAGATGTAGCACCATTCCTATAAGTAATGTTACCTACGAAATAAACCCAACACATTACTTCATTTAAAATCAGAAACATAAACTAAGTTTCATGAGGCGGGGTTCGAATATGTAACCTGTTACCTGAAAGTCACAGCTTAAATAAAATCTTGTTCGAAGTTTTAAAAAATGGTAGATAACTATATAGATGAAGTAAACTGGACAGACTTAAGTCAGAATTTCATAAGCAACTTATTTGGTTATTCGTATGAAGTATTTTATTGCCTTTCTACTTCTAATGATATAATGTGGGGAAAAAACACTGTAACTGAATAATTTTTAACTGTCAGAATAAGTCAACTAGCGAATTTATTTCTCGAAAAAGCTTAGTTCAACTTGTATCGTAACTATTTCAGTCTGTCAGGTTTATTTTTTCCTTTTAGCAGAGATGTGCTAAAAGCCTAGTCCATAAAAAAAGAAAACACAGTTCTACAACCGATAAGACATTTTTGCATTACCTAAGGAGTTGTTTTTTTCTGTTTAAAGAATGCAAAACTTTAGTTATTGTCATTGTCATTCACTTCGACCTGATTTTGTCTTTATATTTCTTATTTTACTTCATATAGAGCATTGATTCGATAAATCTAACTAAACATACCGTCCACTCACCCCAATTGGATCGAATTTCTTCAAGTAGTTGTTTTAATGTTGACAATAATTATATAAATAATGATGGCGATGATGATGTTGTCATAACTAAGTGCCTACGTGATATGTCATCAGTAGTGAATCGTTTAAAATCTGTTTGGCCACCAAAAGGTCCTAACAAATCAGTACAGTTCAACGAAGCAAGGAATATTTTGAACAATTTATCTAATTTCGTGTATACCAGTTGATTGACTAAGTGACTGGCTATTTTTTTACCCACATATATTTGTATTATTTCATTGTACAAACCAATATCAAATAAATAAGACCTTTTAAATTCAGTTATGCTTGTATTTCTTTGTTTTTCACTGTACAAATCTAATGAGAACATCTAATTTGTTGAGAAAGGATTTAATTGAAATTTTAAGTAGTTCGTTAAATGTCGATCATTTGTTGATTACGTGCTTGTGTACTCAAAGTTTAGGCCACAATTTATTGTACGTATATGTGTGCAAGCGTTATTGACATTATCCGATTGGTTGAACCGACTTAGATAAAACATGGTTCAAACCTTCATTTCATTTGTTAAACATTGAGTACTTGGGACACTAACTCATCGCTTCTCACGAAAGTTATATATATATATATATATATATATATATATATATATATATATATATATATATAAGATTAATGATTGTCAATGTAATCTACAGTGTAACTTTATAAGTATGGTTATAGTTCATTCTTATGATCATTAAGTTGCTTGTTCAGACATTTCGAATACAAATTGCAGAAAGCTTAGGTTTTCAGTAGATCATTTGTAGATAATTTCTTTGACTTATTATTGGTGAGGCGGATCAGAATCTATAAGGGTAAAACAGTTTATTTCAGGCTAGAGATACCATATACTGATGGATATTCAAGGTGTTAAACCCGAAATCCTGACTTCCAACCGTTATCTTGACTTGGTAAGCTTACAAGAACCTGGTTTAACAATCTCAAGTCTGAGAAAAGATTAGTACTCAAAACGTTTTTTATAAACAAATACAAGTGAGCGTTCTTTCTGACAAATATTACTTAATGCAAACAAAAACTGATCGATTTGTCTTTCCGACGAGAAGCAATCTATCATTTATTTATTGAACCAAACTCTTATCATTCATCTGTTATTTCTATTTAAATAATTATTGTTAAACATTTTCAGGATACCTTAAAATTAGGTTAATTGACAACTTAGAAGATTTTTATAATTTGTTGAATGTATAAATTCATATCATAGTGAAATTCAACTTGGAAGGATCTTGTACAATTGTTTGAATTATAGTTCTTTGTTATAACATTAGATTATATTCCATACCATCATTAGTAAATGATATTAGATTATATGTGATATTTTCCTTTTTTGAATGGACTCTCTCATTCACAAATCAAAAATAATTCATAATCATTTTATTATATTTGACGAAGTGATTAGATTGCATTCGTTAACTAATAGATACTATTCAAAATTAGGAATATAATTTATCTTAAGGTAATTCGTTCAACTTTCATAGAACATCCTCCCTACAAGCTATGTAATATAAGTATCAATGATCAGCAGATTAATAAATATAATTGATTATTATATCTTCCCCTGATAGTTTCTAACTGGTTCAACTTACAGAGTTCCATCTAACCAACCTTTGTTTATTTTTCCATAGTTGGTCGGTGTTTACATACAAAACCTAGAAGAATATACTATTTACTAAAATATATCTTTGCTAATTATTAGCAGGTAAGTAATATAATATCATAAAATGATATTTCCCCTTGTTTTATGAAAAGTCTATTTAGATATTATTCTTTGCATGCAATGCGTGCTGTGGTACAACGAGTTAAACAAGCATCTGTTAGTGGTATGTTGTTAATTTCTTTTATGAGTAAAGATTTCGTATTACGTGCGATGTGATAATTTATCTTCTTTAGATTATCGTATTTTATTATTGTTTAAATTATATATTATTATTGTATGTTTAATTGATAATTTGCTTTAATATTCTGTAGAGATTTTATATATTTTGAAGTTAGTTTACGTTATGAATAAAAATCGTACTTGGTAGCATAGACATCCAAATCTATAAAGAAAAAGGTATCCGATACTATTTTCTTTTCAATAATTTTCAGTCAACGCTAATTCGCAACGAAGGCTTTTACAAGGTCATCCAAATCTACACAAAACATTGAAGCAATTAATAATCCCCACCTTGTGGTCACTTGTTTACGGTTCTGAGAATGGTTTCTATCGAAGTCAACTGAATCAGAATTGACACTGATTCACTAATGAAACTGGGCGATTGGATGATCGTACAATGTCACAAATTGTGTGAGGTCAGAAATGTAAACCATTGGATGCTGGCTCATTGGTATAAAAGTTACACCCTAGGTGAGACCTAAAGGTCCTGGCTTCGATTCCTTGTGGAATCGTGAGGAATCACTTACGTAGATGAAACAACTGTCCGGTACCCACTGGTTTTTAACGGTTGTCTAACTAACGCGATGTTAATTATAAACTTGGAAAATCTCCACAAACCTCTTACTCTAATAAAGCAAAAGTTAATAAGTTAGAAATACAAAATCAGTGCATTCTATCCAGTTGTATTTCTGACTAAATAGAAAGTTAGTAATTCTTCAATTTCTTTATAATTTAGTAAATGATTCAATTATCAGTCAAATCGGTCGTGGAATACTTGTTCTTATTGGTTTATCACGACGAGATACAGAAAATGATATGGAGTATATGTATGATAACATTTATTTTATGTATTCATTTTATTCTATGTATCCTCATCACTTTGTTGTTAATTGAATAAGACGTTTGAAACGTTTTGAGTAAATTGTGTCACTATGTTGTTGACAATAAGTCAACTCACAAACGAGTCAAAAAATTTTTTAACAGTCAACCTACTGTTTTTTTCGTGCATTGAGTCAAAATATTTACTTATATGATTTAAGGATATTATTTTTCTAAAGTTAGTTACTGCATAAATGCATTTTCATGACAGATTTATTCACCTTAGATTTTCTACAACATATCTACACAGTTTGCCAATCAATCAATCTACCGCTTGTATTCATTCAGATAACTTAAAACACAGATTTGATTGGGAAAATGTCAAAGTTATGTTTTCAAAGGACTCTTAACCTTCTAGAAGTATGGCATACTGACGAATCTCCAATCAGTTGATATGTTATAGATTTGGCTTATCAATTCATACGGTAAAGATCAACCATTCAAGTGTATCAACTGAACAAAACTTTCCGAATGTACTAGGTTATGAGAAGATAAAAAACTACATAAATAATCAGTCACAGAAAAATAAGTCAGAACAGACTGAGTGGTGCTTGTGGAATAATTTGAAGGAGGCATTAATGATTGTCCAGAACGACATTGAAAGCTTTGGAATTCAACTATTTAACTCAGAGTACACATTACCATGAAAAGTGTTTATTTAAGATATGCATATTCATCATTTCAATAAAATCACACAAACTATCTACAAATAGCACTAAAACAGTCAACGTGGAAAGCGGGATAATTGTTTATCTACACAAGTTTTCATGCTTCTCCAAATAAATACATAGATATACGAACATCTGTTGCATTGATAACATATTGTAATGAATTTAAATTTCAACCATTAGGTGTAAAATAATTAAATCCCCAAGAAATACTAATTCGTCCTCTCTCCTGCGCTCTTAACAAACCAAAAACGTAACGACATCAAAACATCTGACATACTGAGAAAGTTTATCTTATCTTTGTTTATCTATTTCTCTATATATAATCGATTTTTTAACGTTTATTAAACTGATAGGTATCTTTATATTACTTGTGAGGGTTTGAGTCTGTCCGTTCTTGACGTTAAAAACTGCAATTGGTCAGTCCCTTTCTCCAACTTTATTTAAAAACTCAAAATGTTTCGTGTTTCAGGCTAATTTTTATAAATTTAATTCCACCCGTGGTTTCGTAACAAAATAGTTCATTATCTTTTTGCCTTGCCAATAACATTTAGTAAGTTTTTTTAGGGAGTAGAATAAAATTCCTTTCTGTCTTTCAATATTTACAGGGTTAGAAAAATACTGAACATTCGTTTATTTCCATCTCAAGATGGCATAAGACGTTGGGATAAAAGTGTAAAAGATTTAAATCTGGAAATTCTTTGTGTTAGTCAGGTAAGGAATTTTGTTTTTCTAACTAATTCTCATATCATTTTCACATATTGATGCTCAGGTATTCAGCATAAGTATTTAATAATTGTTTCAGTATACTCTGATTTTTGAAATCCCTTACAGTTTCTTAGTTCAAATGATTGTGTTAGTGTGTTTTTAGCACTAATGTCCACAATAAAGTCTCTACAGAGGACTAAATTTTTATTATTCAATATTTCATGTTTAATTTCATCAACTTTTCTTTTTGTTTAAATCGTAGTGAGAGAAAATTAAACCTAGTATTCAGGTCTTAACTTCATTGACATTTGAGTGATCTTCAAGTTCCCTGTCTTCCATTCTCTTATGTCTCAATTAATTTTTAACTGCGCCTATTTTTGAAGCTAGTATCGTGTATATATGGATATTATCATAGTAGAAAACCATCTTATATCTGTTCATTTTAATTTCGTAAGCTGCTACTTCTCTGCTACATCGTACTGTTGCACGTCAAATGAGTGGCATTACATTCGTTCATCTAACAATCAAAACCTGTTCATCATCATATCATAAAATTTTAGTCTATAACAAACATTTCTCGAGACTTATTTACTTTACAGGACTGGATCTACGTTCATGGTCATTTCCTAATACTTCAGTCCGTATAATCAACCTACTTAAAAGGTTGATTAAGTAGTGTAAGCTTTTACGCTGAATTTCTGGTTCTAAGACAATGGAATGTCATATAATATATATATATGAAATTTTTGAACTGATTATTGGAAATCGCTTGCCTGATTTATCTTGGTACTGTTATGCTAAAGATGGTGTTTATATGATACTAGGCACAAAAATTGGCACATGACTAGATAATTAGACAGATGTAGGTATCATTACCAAGGTTTGACTTGATAATTTCGAATAAATTGAGCATTAGGTAGATTGTTATAAATAAATGTTTTTGTAATATCCCAATGAGTAGAAAAATTAGATTATCTGGCGTTTCGTGACTTAGTGTAAGCCACCTCTTCAGAGAATAAATAACCAAATCAAAATTAATCCAAGACAGATGTTTTGATACGATATCATCTTGCAAGAGTGAAATTTGTGAAGTAATATCGATTGCAGTTAATATGATTGAAGTCACTTTTCTGTAGTTAATTGTTCAACTATTTTTCATACATTCAGCTTTTACTAACTTTATTGTTAAGACCGACCTGGAAACCAGTGACTGAAATTTTTCTTTTGACTGCCTCCAACCACTGAACATCTCAACATAATATAAACGTTATATCAAGTCACTTAGGCTAATTGTCACAATGTAACTTGATCTTTAGGACTGGATAAACATAACGTTGACCAATATTTTGTAACCAACCTATCTTAAATATCTTGATCATTTAGGCGGTTAGTTGCAGCCCGAATAACTCAGTGGTAACATCTCGAGCTGTGAGGTTGGATGATACAGGTTCGAGTTTCCCTTCCATTAAAATTTCATGTACGTTTCACTGAAATATGCTAACTAGTGCAAATCTACGTCTAGAGTATCCTGCCAACCGTCTTCAGTCACCAAAGATCACTGATAAGTGATTTATTTGTTTAAGAAATCATAATATTTGAGCATTTGAAAATCCGATTCATATCTTTTTATATTCGATAGAAATAGTGTTATCTAATTTTTTTAAAGTACTAGTCTATTACACAGACATATCGTTGGTGGAAAATTGGTTCTGTTTTAATGCTCATATAATTTATAGTTTTATTATTTATTTTCAATGTTTGTTTTTCATTATTTTCTATTCTGTTATAACTTATACCCTGTGTCCTATTAATGTATAATGTAATGATACCGCCAATTACAGAACAGTGAATTATCGACGGACCAATGACGCATAAAACCCGTACGAGCAGTCTAGAGTCCTGATTGATCCTGCTTTCCGCCTAGCCCAGCCAGTTAAGTCCAGAACACCAGTCTCAGCCTCTGCAATATGAATCATTATATTTCAAACATACTCTATTTATATACCAATCAAACAGATCACACCGTACCATAAAATGGGGAACAACATTTGTACAAGAATTAGCCAAATGTGGTTGTGAATAAGGGAGATAGTAATTGATAGACAAGGAATAATTCAAGAATGGTAGATCGTATAATAGCAGTTCATAGGTCAAAATAAAGCTCAAATAAGAGGAACACGACTATGAATAGTTTAGTTATTTAACAATTATACGATAAAAGTATACGTATAGTATTTGTGCGTAAATAGATCCCAACAGTTACCATTCATTATTCTCATCAGGATATAACATATTCACTTACACCTATTAATAAATTAAATTTTAAAAATAACGCTTTCAAGAGATAGCTCTTATAGTAATTTTTTATGTCTTTGGTGTGTTCATCGGATTGTTTCAAAGTATTGTACCCGTTGTTAAATGTGGATTTATTAGTTTCATTTTTGAAATTAATCCCTGTTATTTTGATTGTTAGTTGTTTTACAAGATTACATTTTCTAACTGAACCCCATGTATCTATATCAGTGATTATTTGTTTTGAATTTAAGTTATGAAACGATCGTTGTCAAACGACTATTGAAAACGTATAAACACTAGACGGTCGTTTCGTCCTAGTGTAGGAGTCCTCAGCAGTGCACATCCATGACGGCGCACTTGAGACTCGGGCACATGGCTTTTGGTCATGACTTCCGCGAACGCTTAATCCTAAACAAGGGAATCGGCATCAACGTTGTTAATGTCTAAATTCAACCAATCCACAATATTGCCCGACTATCTTCCATTGTCCTCGAGGCGTAAAATTACCTCACACTCGACACAGTTGAACTCCACTGATCACGTCTTCTCACTAGAACTCCGAGAATAACCTCTCGAAACTAGTCAATAGTGAGCAAATGATAATAGTTACTTTCAAGTAAATACTTGATATTTATAATCCTCCTTATCTTACATAGATCTGTGCAACTAATTTTTAGTATCATTATCTTGCATATATTAGATAATATTTATTGTTTAATTACGAATGCATATGTATAGGATCGCTTTTTTGTATTACTGCTACATTCATTTTACTGACTGTTGTTCTACTTCTTTTTCTTTATGGAATAGGGTTTTATGGTTTTATAGAAAGATTTTTGATTGTTTAAATGAAAGGAAAGAATATTGATGATATTCTATTCGTACAAAGTGATAACTAAATGATGATGGTAATTTGAAATCAATAACATGACCGCTAACCAGAAAAATAGGTTTTGCTTATTATATAACAATAGAAAAAATAAATATGATTACATATATTATAAACAACTAATCATTATTGATTATTTAGCTTATTCCATTTCCAATCGATTAGATCTCAACTATTAGAGCTTCATAAATACTATCACTAACAGTCAATTTATATTGTCAAAATGTTCTAAAATTATACTCATTATACTTTTGTCTCTTAAATAATAGAACTACTATTGAAATTTTAGCATATGTTATATATGAAATATCTAAATTTGTTTGTTTTTCTTTTTTCTTACTATTTATACATATTACTTAAATCATACGTTCCATTTGTACAAATATTTATATTTCTTAAAAGCAATATTTATTAGAAAGAAAAAAGAATAATTTTTCATCTTTGTTTTATTTCAGTTTACATTATATAGTGAATTAAAAGGTAATAAATTAGATTTCATTATGCTATGGATCCGAAATTATCGAAAGATATTTATTCACAGTTAATTAATCAATTAAAAAAGAATTATAATGAAGATAAAGTTAAAGGTAATTAAAAGAACTAAAATACAATTTCTTTTCTATTTGTATTATTCTTCTCTAGTATGTATTTATAAGTTAAATCATAGAATAACTATAAACAAAGATGGATAGTGGCTAGTAGTGGAATGTAGAATGAGGGTTTCGTCCTGTTTGGGACTCGTCAGTTGAATGTACTTGCATCTCAGCGTTGATGTTCACTCTAGGACTCGAACCTAGTACCATTCAATTTATATGCCATTGCGTTACAGATTGATCAATTGCAGTGCTAAACATCAATTGGAAGATTTAAGTAAAACAATACCGAGTGACTAGATTAAATATAATTAGAAAATAATTAAAAATTAAGGATCAATGGAAAGTTATTTTATCCTAAAATGGGACTCTTCAGTGCAGTGCAATGCAGATCCCTGTTGGCAATAGGACTGACAACTATCAGGTGGTAACCTTGAGACCTTTGAGCCGCCATTCATTGATTTACTAATTTCGGTTGATTGATGATTGTATATATTGGAAAACAACAATTAGCAAATACTAAAATAACCTTTTAAGGACTTTATATAATGCCAAAGGTAATAACCCATCGTGAAATGACATCACATTGATAATTGCTCTACTTGACAGTCGTTATTGACGTTTGAGCCCTACCTTTTATATACTCAGACGACTTTCTTCCGTTAACTCGAATAATAGAGAAAAGATGTAGAATATAAGTAAAAGTCTTACTCTATGTACATAAAATCAAGCTTATTTAAAGGGTTTTTAGGTGGCCTTAATCGTCCACAAGCTTCTGGAAATATACTAAATATTGTAACAACTTCAACTCAGACTGAATTACACTCATGGCTTTCACATTTTACAGTCATCACAGTAACTTTAGATCGTTTATTTCTAATGATACTAGCTATGATGAGGATTACTGAAATTTTAAAATATCCTTCAATTACAAGGTGATGTCAACCAGGGACTTTCAGATTAAGATTTAAATGTTATACTAACTGATATAACGAATCCAACTAGCACTATATACTGTATTTCGGAAAGTGTCCACAATAACTTTTTGTCATGATTATGAGATAATTATAAAAAAACAACCTTTTGGTCCAAATATATTTCTCCCAGATTGTTCACAAAACTTATCTTACTGTGAACTCTTATTACCTTCAGATAGGCTACTAGTATCTCTGATATCTAGTACATTTTAGTCTGGATTTGCATTTGTTAATTATTCCCGAAATGTAATGTATTTATTAACACCACACTTGGTTTCACTAGAAACCGAAAAAAAACATGATTTTATTTCTTGACATTCTCTAATTATATTCTTTTTTCTTAAAGATGGAATTTTCGGCGCAATGATGGATGTCAGTCTTATTAACGACGGACCTGTTACTATTACACTTGATTCAAATCCAGATATTAGTCGAAGTCTAGCAATAAATTCACAAGATGATCCAAAAACCACGAATACATAATAACTTAATGCTGTAAAGTTATATTGATTGTTTAAATTTGTAACATTTTGTAAAAAGAAACATGAACGCTTTCGTAACAGTTTTCCTTTTTTGTGACTTCTTCCTGAGTAAAAGTTAGGTTTTAAGTTTTTAATAAACGTATCATTTATGAAGGCTTAGAGATTGTGTATTAGAGGAATAAAGCTTTGTTCTTTCTCTTTTCAAGTTAATAAGAGCTGTGTTTACAGAATTAGTTAGCGTCAATATTTTACTCATATATATTAGATAGTCGATGATTCTGAAGTAATTATATGATATTTGAAGTATTCATTGAATTTAAATAAACAGGTTATATTCTGGAAATAATCACAGAATACGTTCCGATTTAATGACATGAAATGAAATGTAGCACGTACTAAACTGGATCGAACAAATGCTTCGTCCCAATTTAGGAGTATTAATGATCTGTACCCAACTACAATTTAACGTGCTACTAAATCCAGAAATTTAAGCTACTGAATTTCAAGTTATTAGTCAAAAAGTAGCCAGATGATCGCATGACTTAAATGTTCGAAGTTTGATTCTTCTCGAAATCATGAACTAGCGATATTGTGAAGTTTCAAAGTAAAAAGAAATAGAGGCTTGAATATGTAGTTTTGTGGTCAAAACTCAAGTGTGTAACCATGATCAGTGGTTAGATATGTTAATTGACATAGTTAAAAATTGGTCTTAGTTACCTAGTTGTATTCATTATTTGTCCTCTCTTAAAGTTTGAATTCCAGTATTTCTTCACACATACTTTTTCGCTCTGTCTTTTCAAATTATATTTCTCATTGTCACTGCCACTACAATTATCTCGAAATTTTTTTTATTCATCTTATTAATTTCGTTGTATTTAGGTGATTTGGCAATTTGGGTTAAATTACATTTGTTCTAGTTCCTATTTTGATTATGATTGACTGAACCACTGTAACACCTCTTGATACATAATAATAATAATAATATTTCAACTAATTCTGACTGTCAACAAAACTTCTTGTACAGTATAGTATAGAATAAATAATAAGATAATTGACAGAGAAAATGACTGAATAAACAAGTATGTTTATTTGTAAATCTTTAAAATGTTAAGGCTAGTAAAAATTATCTTTCCACAGGATGATTTTCAAGTAACTAAGTTATTATTTACATAATTAACATAAATTTAATGATTGACAAGTATGTAAATTATTCAGTTGTGTTGTGTCTATCGTTAGATTACTTAAAGAAAATAACTATTTCATGAAAATATCACGTATTAGTCAATGTATAACTTTTAGTGGCTCGTGGATCTGACTCCAATTAGATCGTATGAATGTTTGTTATCACCTATCTTCGTATATAAATCGTCGACTTAAATCGCGTTAGTCAATAACGGAATTGAATACGTCGAATAACAAGAATGGACTTGTGGTAACATATAATTTTGTATATAAAGCGAATGTAATAGAGAGCAGAGAAAGGATACAGAGTGGAGATGGCTGGTAAGCCAACTCCCATTTAACAAGGCGTTAATCAATAGTTATAGTAGTTACACAAAAGTAAGTTACAGACATGTGATGAGTAATGAGATAAGAAGTGTACACACACCTATGCGCTCATATGAAAACAGTCAAATTGATAAGCGAATAGTCAACAAGGTCAGAATGTGACTCAAGTAGAATGAATAAAATGGCCTGTCCAAAAGCTAGAATAAGGTATATTGGCTTAACATAATAACCGACACTACAAACTGTTACATAAATTGAAAAGTAAGGTACACAGTCATTTTGACCATAAAACAGTTTCTGTTGAAAAATCTATCAAGAAGATTTAATATCAAATTTCGATTGACATGGAAACATTGAATGATATTTTCTTTTTCATTGAATGACTGACATTCTGCTAATGAAACACGATTGCATTAATATATTGGTTGACTAATATTTTTTCAGTCCACCATAGGCATTTTTTAAAATGTACGTTGTAAAACCTACACTAAAAACGTTGAGACAATGTTGGACAGATAAATTAATTAATAACGAGTATTTGACGACTCCATACAACAGATTTTACAGGGCATTATTGATGAGTATTTTGTATACGATTAATTTTGTTTCTAAACATATTAGATTTATCATACAATGTAGATAATTTTACCAATCATATGAAATTTCTTCATAAGGCATGATATTTCTCCAGTTTTCGCAAATATGGGCTTTCAGTGAAAACACTATAAAGATCTTATCACACCTTGAACATTACAATAGATGTTGATACTTTATATTCTCTTAAAGAATTCTGATAATCTATGACTCGATGCAGGAAACGTATCAACTTTAAATAAATTGATGATGAATTAACAGACCATGAAAATTACTATCTGCTTTTCAAACAGAACGTGTATTAAACCTGGATAGAACAAACAGATTTACGATGAAAATTGAAATTAGATAGTACAAGGTTTTCACGAAACTATCGGTAAATATTAAGTGAAGACCCACTAGATTCTAATATATGGATAGTTTTTTAAAGTTTCAGTGTGATCGCATGACACGAAGTTAGTTAGTTTAACAGTAAAACAGGAACTCATTACACCAGTTTGATGATAATCATAGTGTATAACGAAATGAATAAAGTTCCGATTTAATAAATTCATGTTCATCGAGAAACCTAAAAATTTTGCTTTCTGGACACAGGCAGGAACAGATCATTAGTGTTCCTAAATAAAGATAAAACTACTATTTTATTCATCTTAGTTAACAATAACCCTTCATTCGTTGTCTCTTCGTGTTTAGGATTACTTTCAAACAAGAATGAAACAATAAATAACTGAAATAAAATAAATTAACCAAATAAAATTTGTGCAATCTAAATTTGATTTATAGAAACCCTCAATACTATATTTATGTGATCAGTAGTGATTAATATCCATAGTTTATTTCTGGAGCTCAACTATCTCGAGGGTATGGCAATTATTCATCGATAGGGTTGAATACTGACGGTATAATATCGCAAATTGACTGAAATTTATAGCGTGAACCATTAGATATCATTTCAGTAATCCGAAAGTTAAGGGTTCGCCAAGAGGTTTGAAGGTCTAGGTTCAGCTCACGTCACGTCCGTGGATGCTCGCAGATGGGAAGTCCCATATTAGGAAGGAACTAATGTCCACTGCTTCCTGATTTTCCGTGGTTGTCTAATAAAATCAGTCCAGGATACAACTGACAGAATTCGTCATTTTCTCTAAGCGCTTCAACTAATATTATTTCTTCAAATCATTATTGGACTGACTTATTTGACTTCATAATTTGTCAAAGACAAGGGATATTGGAAGACGTTTCTGTGATGCAT